TTTTTTTTTTAGTTGTATTTTTGAATTGGTTGTGCGAGGCAAAATTTTCCAATGTTTACCTATGCCGCCATTTTGGTTTCTGGGCAAGCCTGTTTTTTGACACAATATGGTTGCAAGATTTATCCTTCATGGTTGATATAACAAAACACTTATATGATTTAACTTAAACTGCGAGGAAGATCAGATGGCAGCAATTTCCAATGTTTACCTATGCCGCCATTTTGGTTTCTGGGCAAGCCTGTTTTTTGACACAATATGGTTGCAAGATTTATCCTTCATGGTTGATATAACAAAACACTTATATGATTTAACTTAAACTGCGAGGAAAAGATCAGATTATTACAAACATGTGTCGCCAAGTCAAAGCATTCAAATGTAAGCTAGTTCTTTGGGAAAAGCAGTTGAAAAATGAAGATTTAATGCACTTTCCGACATGCAACATGAACAAATCAAGTTTAGGTGAAACTGCATCGTATCAAAAGTACACAGAAAAAAATTTAAACCTTAGAACTGAATTTAAAACAAGGTTTGCAGGTTTTAAATTTTTGGAAGACAGGTTTCCTTTGTTCAATTTTTTCAATAAATATAGAATCAATACCTAATCAAATGCAATTGGAATTGATTGAAATCCAGTGTGATTCAGATTTAAAGACAAAATTCAATGATGTTGGTGTGCCTGAATTTTACAAATATTTACCTGCCAGGTTTGAAAATACTCTAAAATTCACATATGAAATTATTTCCATGTTGGAAGTACTTATTGGTGTGAGCAGTTATTTACAATTTTAAGGAAATAAGTCTCCTGTCGGATCCAGAATTACTGACATTCACCTTGGGTCAGTTTTGAAAGTAATCATTGTGAACAAAATTTCCCCCAAAGTAGGAAAGACAGTAGCAGAGAGATGCCAAGTGTCAGGAAGAAAACATTAAAATTTCTCATTGCTCTTGTTCTTTTTTATACTATACTTTTCGAAATAAACCTACGTCTCTATGAAAATTGCGGCTTTTGTTTTTTTGTGGCCCACGTAAACTTAGACCTTGCTTATTTGCCCCGTGTTAGCCTTTGAGTTTGACGTGCTTGGTGTAAAGCAATAACAATTATTTTAGTTTACCTCATAGCTTTCAGGGGTTAGGAATTTGGGGAGAGAATTTTGTCTGGCAGTTCTGGCTCACATAATTGCAGGCAGATGATGGCTGTGCTGGAACCATGGGAGACTAAAGCAGCTGAGGGAGAACCTAGGAGCTCTCTCTCTTCCTGTGGTCTCAGGGTCTATCCATGTGGTCTCTCTTAGGGGTTAGTTTGGGCTTCCTCGTAGCTTGGCAGCCTCCAGGCCATAATGGCTAGCTTCCAACATTGTCCTTAATGATTTCCACCTCCTGGTATCCATACCATTGTGTAGCCTCTTCCCACACTACACAGGGCTGATCTGGCCCAAGAGGGCAGTACAGAAACTTGACTTTAGAGGGTAAGTCCTAGAGACATTGTGGCCCCCATCTTGCTTCCTCTTAGATCACTCATCCTGAGAGAAGCCAGCCATAGATAACAGGAACTTTCCATTTCAATAGCTCAGAAAATAAAGCCCAATATTTCTATCACTTTAAAACAAACGTTTACTGAGCACCTGTTATGTGCCAGGGTTAGGGCCTGGAATAAATCAGTAAAGCAGACAATTATTCATACCCTGGTCTCGCATTTTAGAAAAGGAGAAGAAAATGAGCAGTTATATTAAATACATAAAGTATATAGTATGTCGATGGTGCTAAATGCTACGGATAAAATAAAAAGCAGAGTACAGTTGGGGAGGATGGGGGGTTATTGCCATTTTAAATAGGACAGTCAGGGCGTGCTTCATTCAGTTGACATTTGGGCAAAAGGACACGAGGGAGTAAGCTATGCAGATATCTAGGGGATGTTCCAGGTACAGGAAACAGCTAGTGAGAGGCCTCGGGGTGGAATGTGCCTGGTATGTTTAGGGAACAGGAGGCCAGTGTGGCTGGAGCCAGGGAGCTGGGGGTAAGAACACAGAGGAAAGAGGAGGTAGGGGAGGAGGGGGAGGGCTTTCTGGGCTTCAGTTCTCCCACCTGTAAAATGAGCAGAATAACAGTATATATCTCA